CACACACACACACACACACACACACACACACACACACACACACACACACACACAATCAGTACTGTACTAATATCACACAATTATTATTACAGTCTCTGTGACAGTCAAAGTTTTAGGTATAAAAATAAAGTAAAACTTGAGTTTGTAACAAAAAATATCAACATGTCAAGTACCTAGTATTAATTCAAAGGCATATAATTACGCATTATCATAATAATAATTATGAAGTTGCCAACAAAAGATAGTTAAAAAGAACTTTGTACTTAACAAGATTAAGGAAACAAAAACAAACTTTTTCTTGTATCTATAAAACGAAATAACTTCTATCTAACCTTTGGTTATTATTTAGCGCGACAAGTCGATAACTCACGAACACGAACAAAGTTTCGGTTTTGGTAGTAGTTTCGGCCGGTTCGCTGCCAAAACCGAAACTAAAACGAAACTCCAATTTTGCGCCGAAACTGGCCAAAACCGAAACCAAAACCGAACCTTCGGTCGGACACTAGTAAATATAAACTAATGAACGCAAATATATTTTGTATTTTGTAGTTTTACTTTTATTTTATATTGTATAGTATGAGAATATTACCACATCACCAAGATACTGGAGGTTTCTTTGTTGCTGTGCTGGAAAAAGTAGCATCTCTTCCATGGGAAAGTGAATCTGGCACATTAAATAAGAATGAACAGAATTTAGGTGATAATGAAAACAAAGACAAACTCGGTCTTCAAGAAGAAAGTTTGCAAGATGTAAAATTAGTGAAAAGCGGAAAAAGAACATTAGAAGAAGAAAAAAAATTACGAGAGCCACAAAAAAAACGAAGAAGAGATCTTGGTTATAGAGAAGATCCATTTGTTTTCTTTAAAGACGATACAGAAGATGTATGGCAGTCTATTAAGTAAGTTTCGAGTTTTTTCGAGTTTTTCTTTTTTAGGTTTTTAGAGTAATTTGTCTTTTTTCTTATTTTTTTTTTTTTTTAATATTTTCAGAAAGTTTTACGATATATCTGAAGAGTTGAATCCGCGATGTCTGTTAGTAAGATGTCACGAAGGAAAAAAGAAAAACATTTATTTCACATCGCCGGCAATTCGTGATATAGTAATATCTAACGAAAATACAGTCAAAATGATTAATACTGGTGTTAAGACATTTGTACGATGCGACAATAAAAATATGAATTGCGCCTTTAGACTCGCTCAAGAAGGGATGCAAAGTATTGTTTGTTACATAAGTGATAAGAGAAAGCTTCAGATATCGAAAGAAGATTTAATAATGCTTTTACAAAATAACGATCCACACACACCACCTGAAATTGTAAAATTCAGTTCTGACACTCAGCAACGTCTCAAAGATTTTGGTAAATATAATAATATATATATCAATCTATTTTTTTCTTTTTCTTACACAACATATAAAATACACAAATATTATTTGAAAAATATATTTAATTCAAGCGATTGGAAGTTGTATTTTGTTATACAAAGAAGACAAAACTGACGATCCAAACCAGTTGAATCTTCAACTAGTTGGATGGAGAGGGACAATGTCGCTTAGAGCTTATGTGCCTACGTGCGATGCGATTCACTATTTACGGCTTTTAGGAGCAGATTGTTCTAAATTTGGTATGTTAAACATGAAAAGTATTATATTATTATATGAGAACATATGAATATTTATTTTAATACTATAGAGAAAAACAAATTCGAGGAAAATCGTGCAGCCGCGTTAGTTGCATCAGAAGACGTTAATAACAGCGATTCTAAAACTGAAGATTCTAATGAAAAGTTGGTAATGGAAAACGACAATTGTGTGAAGAAAGTGGACGATACTGATTGAAATGAATGAATCGTTATTAATGAATAACTTATTTGATAATTAAAGACTTGCCAACACTTTCTTAATTTTTTACATGCGTTCTAAATGTGCATTACAATTAGGTGAAACGTTTAAATTGCATGTTTTATTTAGCGGAAAATACATTCTTACTCGATCGTGTGCGAACACGATCGAGTGATAAACGATTGTTAATATCGGATTAATTTATCATTTAATGATAAAAATTACATGTCATAAATAAACTAAATAAAAAATATGATTGTATGTGTAGGATAAAATCTTTGAAAAAAAAACGAACACAACCACAGTGTGATGATGAAATGATTGTTTTTACTTTCTATTTTCTACGAAATAACATTTCTGTTATAAAAACAATTATGTTATCTACCATTGTTTGAGCGATAACTTCCATTCCCTGATACCGTATTTTTTTAATTGCGGTGTGCACTATACAAATTTTTATTATAAACATGGCCGGATTTGAAAGAATTATTAATTCAGAAGTGACATTTTTTTCTTGTAACATTTGATATATCACTACATTTAATAATTGATGCAATCTCTCGCAAGACATCCCGGTTATCGTGCGATAACGATTAGAAAGAATGGAATCTGTTAACAACTCCTCGCTTTGACGTCGCGTCATATCGTATTTTCCAAAGATTTTTATGAAATCTCTCTTGATATAAGCGTGTCTGACCGCTTCTTCTAAGTTTTTAAATGCTAGAATTTTCAACTTGCGATGAAAAATTTTCAGTTCAGTATGGATTACTACGAATAAAGGACGGGTTTTGCTATAAAAATCATTTAAATATAGATACAAACATGAAAAAGACTAGACAAGTTTTAACACATAAAACTAGAAAATAAATATATATAAAATCAAAATATCTAAGACTCATCAAATTTCTCCATTTGTTTTGAAGTTGATGCCTGATGCTAATAATCCTTATTCGTTGGCGATGTTAATTTACCGCTGAAATTTTGCGAGTTGGATGGCGATTTCGAACCTAGAATCATAAATTTCGCGCGCATTCATTTCTTAAACTTAATAATTTCTCTATTTAAGATCTGCTACTTATCAATAGTTATCATATAAAGTTCTTTAATCAATTCGATCTTTTATTATAAATATGTGTTAAGACTTACAGCTTTTTCCAAGTTTGCTTCGTGGATTATTTGCACACGGGTGATCGCCCATGAGATGTTCTCTCCACTTGTTTTGATTTACCAAACCTAAACAGAGGGGACAGCGTTCGTATCCTTCTATAGGTTCTAAAATACAAAAATTTATTTCTTTCAATTTTTTGTATTGGCAATTACTGTAAATAGTAACAAAATAATAAGCAACGTATATTCACACGTACTTGTGCATTTTTTGTCTTGTCTGTGATTCTCAAATGCACTTTCGTATACCGCCTGTTTGCACGTGTCACATTTTACGTAATTACTCCTCATATCGCATTCATCTGTAACAAAAATATCAAAGTAATTTAATATGTTAAATTTATAAACACTCATACAGTTGTCTCTTGTTACTTACTTAACAAGTGTAGGTTCAAATAAGAGATTTCTACGACTTGCTTGCACGCTTCGCATTTCGTTAACATAGGACAGGTTCTCCAGTAATGTATGTTCAGACCTTCCTCAGAATACACTTGACCCTTAGACAGGCAAAATATGCACATTCTGCTAGAAATGAAAAGAACGTCACAAATATTCCATGATCTTTGCGCGACTAACGGATTTTATTGATTTTGTACACACTTATCTCCCTTATGATCGGTACTGTTCTCGGACGGAGACGTGATACTCGTTGAGCTTCCGGTACTCACAACTGGACTCGATCTCGAAGGTGACTTGGTTAAACTAGCTACGTTATTTTCCGATGATTTAGTTCGCGTAGGCGTCGTTGTTGCTTTATTGCTGGCTTCGGCTTCCTTTTTCCTCTATAATCCATTAATTTTCTCATATCAAAGTCAAGATTTCAATTTTATACATACTTGTAGACAAAATACAATTTGCAAATATGTCACAACACATACTTGAAGATCAATCAGATCGAATTCGTGGAAGAGTTGACGATATAACAGATTTCGTCGAGTTATATCATCGTCTGGCGGCAATTGCTTTCGCACTAATCTAGGATTGACCTTGTAAACCAACACGAGAATTCTCTCGGAGACCTTACGTACCGCCTCGGCCGGATGGTGCAGACCGGAAGAACCTAGTTCGGATAACGTCCGACATGTCAGCCCGCTACAACAGTTACAATACCTTATCAGAGTATTTGCGTTTTAATAATACAAGATCGATGTTGAGGAAGAACCTCTGCAGGTCGTCACTCAATGATAAAAATTCAAGAACTTTTTCTCTTTGCGGAAAAGACAGCGCAGAGGTTCCGAAATTCCTCACACAATATCTGATAATATTCTCAATGTGAATTACCGAGCATTTTATAACAACATTATTCAGAATCACCTTTGCTTTTCCGTAGAGATGCCGTGACTCAGTATCAGTTGCTCTACCATCTCCAGCCTGCTCAGCGCGAGTCTCTGATGCGTGCTACTATTGACCGGTCTCGTCAAATGCACCGGTATTATATGCAACTCTCGCACACATTTGCAGTCTGCCATGCTGAGAATCGTGTGCACTGCCATGTTGTGTATTCTCGGCGTGGTGTCTCCCGACTTCGTCAAAAGTTCCGGCAACAAACGTTCGACGCTTCTGGCGATTTCAGTCGAAGATACCCTGTATCAAATTTATTTCGATTTGTTACAATTGTTGCATTTTTTTTTTAATAAGCATAATTACGTTAAAAATATTTATGCAATTTTTGCTTAAAAAAAGAGAGTTTTTACTTGTCTGCGGCGAACTCGGAGAAAAAGATTCTTATAAGTTGCGCGGCCAAACTGTACACGCTGAAAACCTTGTCCCTAAGAGCTCTGTGTAATAGCAGAATTGCCGCCCTGGCCACTTTATTCGGAGAATGCTTCGATACTTCCGGATCGAATGTCTTCAGCTCCTCTTTCAATTGCATCAATCCTTCCTCCTTATCCGTGAACTGTTTCGAGTAAAACTTTTCCACCTGCATATGACAATCGTTATCGCTCCGCTATTTAGACACTGTTGAAAAAAATAAAACATTGACAATGTTACCATATCCATTCCAAAGACCGCGATAGGTAACGCGGCTTGTTTCTTCTCCCTGTCATTCAGCTTCGAGGTAACTTTCGTCTCCGTCGTGTTGTCCAAGTGACACTCTCTCGTAAATTCGTTCGTATGTGAGCTAAAAATTAACATCCGTGCGAATGTGTTTGTATGTATATATATACATATATATATGTACATCGTTAATTTTCCATTTTTCTTACTGTCTCAGAGCAGGAATGGTTCTTTCCTCGTAAGCTTCGTAGCTCGAGCGAAGGGCCGGTCCTGCCGATTTGGTTTTCCGTCTTAAAGATCCTTTGTTACAGTTGCTCTGTCTCTCAAGAACACCGTTCGTCGGACTGTCGGTTACCTCTGAGAAACGTTTAAAACTTTATACATATATAGTATTACAATAAAATTGAAAGATTTTTTAATAACGATATACGTTTCAATAAATGTGTACCAGGACTGTTGGGTTTTTGATGTAGCGGCGACACCGGCGGTTGATGCGCGGGACCAGTTGGCGACAGGGCGCCATCGCGATTAGGTGGGATAACTAGTCTCGGGGGAGACGTAACGTCGTCGGACAACACCGCTTTGTTCGAAGTACACGTGTCAGACGTCATTTCTTTGTCTTCCGCGGACGACAGATTGTTTTTCTCTACAGGCTGCACCATTAATCAGCTTGATAATTATATTATTATCACACACCGAGCTTTCGCTATAGCGAGAGACGATTTGAGAGAAGTCGCGAGCGCTACTCACCCCGTGAACTTCGAGCAGATTGTGTATCTCCAACGCCTGATAGACCTGCTGTCTGTATTGTTGAGCCTGGGCCTTCTTGGCTTTGGCCTTGTCGTAATCCTCCAACGCAATGGCATACTTCTTCTCTAATTCGTACTTGCCCAGACGTTCGCCCGCTTTTCTTAAATTCTCCATTGCCACCTTCAACTTCGAAGCGTACTCGAATCTCTCTTCTTCCACCGCTATCAGTTTCTTCGCTTCCATCTGCCTTATGATTTTGGCCACTTCCCGATCGACGTACATTTCAAAAGCTAAATCGTCATAAGGCGAGGTATAATGCGGATTGTACGGGGCATCTCCTTGTCCGGTTAATTCCTGACCGGAAGGTTCGCCAAGTATATTTATAGCAATAAGACCAACCTGAATGTGTGGGAAAAAGATTTTTTAGAGTTTCTATCTCAAAATATATATAATGCAAGTGATCTGACCTGATTTTTTTAAATTTATTTTACGATTTATTGTGAGCGTAATTCCTAATTGTAGGTGAGATTGTTATTAAGATCTTAGCGCGCGTCTCAGCTATACAATATATATATATATATACACCTGACAATAAGTATTGTGCGCGTTACTGTGCGGTTTATGTAGCCTGAGCTTCAGAGACAACGCTTCCGTCTCCGGTAGAGCCACGCTTTTCAGCTCCCTGCTCTTGTAAAGGGTCGACGCGTTGTCCGACAATGTGATGTAGCCCAGGTAACTGAAATTCGTCGAAGCGGATGCATTTTCTTCCCTCGAAGTCCAGATCTCTAGTTTCTCAGCTGCAATTAAAGAGGATACTGTCGCGTGTTTAACAGTTTTTTTTTCTTTTCGCGAAAATTACACACGATAATTTCCCCGTCATGAGATTTAGATCCGGCGATCTAAATCTCGTATTAAAAACTGGTACAAGTAAATTTTTCGTCGATTACGTCGGTTTTCATTTCCGGCGGCGCAGCCGGAAAAATCGAGCGAGAGAAACGAAAGGATGACGATGTAGCCTCAGGAAATCACGGTAGGCTCGTTAATTCGATTTCCATTGTCGGTAAATTGCTTTTCAGCCGGGACGTCGGTTTTAACGAACACAATGATGACTTTAATAGCGTCACAAGAAAAATAACCTTTTGCGTTTTAACTTTATTTTTATCACGTAGTATTTATTACCGCTATTTATAAACTAGCGAACTCACGTATGAGATACTGATGAGCCAACACCTGTATCCTCGTAAGCTTCGTGGGCCCGTGAAGACGTAGAATCAGTTCTTGAGGATACGTGCAGTTTCTTGCACTTTGCCAACCCCTTACTGTCGGCCCGTGAACATTAAGCTCTAACGACGAGTGCCTGTCCTCCTCGCCTTTGGAATAGATTTTAAAAAGTGCAATCAAATTTCAGATATATTACTCTTCTATCACAAAGGGGAAAAGCAATAAAATTATACTCCAAAAGAATTTTTCTACTTTAACGAATATTTAAAATTGTTTTGCGTTCATATACATTTGATGTATTAAACGACAATCAAATAATTCTTAAAAAATTAAACAATTGATTAAAAATGTCGCTTTTCTAAAATTGAACAGGACTTACTTTCACCGTCTATACGATTTATACAGTCATTTATTTTTGCAGCACGTGTTTGTAAGATTATTCAGAATTAAAGGACTAAATTTTCAGTTAGACGGAATCAACATAAAACACTTCAAGTACTTGAACTTGCGATCATCAAAATGTCAATCTCGAGCATCAAATGTCGATCAAGCTTGAACTCGGAAAAGTTGCTTGCTATACGTTATTACTTAGTTACACATAGTTGCGTGACGCTTGTATCGTGCTCAAATATTTTTTCAGTAGTATCAAGACAATATTTCTTTATATCAATTTATTTTTCATTCGTCATTTCTATTATTCATTCATTGACAAAACGTAAAATTGTATTTATGCTATCACGTATCTGTCGAAATTTTGCACAGTTAGCAAAAATACAATCTTTGAGAAGTAATAGGATATCGTCACGCAATAACGCAGTTTCGTATGTGATTTGTGATTGCATATTAAACACAGATTGTACACGGTCGTTTTGAGCGGCGTGCTATTTTGCACTTATGAATATAAAACGAAGTTTCAAAAGTATATTATAATTTTACAACGTATATACATATATATATATATATATATATAAGAAAGAAAAAGTACATTGTTCGCGCCGACCGGAGTATCAAATAACTTCTACGCAAATTATAAGCGAGTCACGGCTAGTCTTGTGTCGGAAAAATCAATGTATTCGATGAAGTACGTTAAAACGCGCGCGGTAGTTCTGGCCAAACTTGGCCGACCGTCAGCCAAAATAAGTAAACCGTTGGAAATTACACGGATCGTAGTCACAAAACGATAAATTTCGAAGCAAAAAAAAAATATGAAAAAACTTATAAATTTTTGGATTATAAATAACTATATTAAAAATTCTGGATAACTCTCTCTGTTAATTTTTCTAGAAAAAATAGCTATAAATTGGTTTTTTTACTAGTTTTCTAATTTTAGTATCTTCCACAAGCTGTGCTGTGCGCTACCACTTCGATTGCGAAAGTGTCAGACAGCACTTTTTGACAAAACCGTTGTTTTCACTTAATTTTCGTCGTAGATATAAAAATTTAAATCCAAGTAATTCTCAGTCTCTTTCGGTCACCGCCCGAGATTAACCCGCGTTTTGTATTATGACGCAAGGTCTGTGGGATTAGTCTTACTCGTGGCGTAGACGACGTTAAATCCGACTTTCCTAGGCATGATGGAGAAGAGTTGATCGTCGGAAAGTGGCGACCGATGAAGTAAATGACCGAAATATTACATCACACGCGCACGAAGCGCACGTAGAAACGAACGAACGGGGAGGAACGGAGGAATACGTCAAAATCTAAAAGGCACAGCCATCTGCAAGCTCGATAAAGGGGGAGCTTGCAAGTTTCACCCCGGCGCGCATGCCACCCTACTTGCACGTCCGGCCGCGGCGAAGCTTGCGACAGAACTGGCTTCGTGCTAGAACCATCGTATCTGACGCGACTCAGATAGTTTGAGGAATTTTCCTGCGAAAAGGCATGCGTGTGTATTCGCTAATATGCGTTGCTTTTCGCAGAGGGACTGCACCCATGCGTATCCACAAGAGATTTCACAATATTGCAAGTAGCAGAACGCAATCAACAAGCAAAGTCCTGTAAGAAAAGAAATAAATTAAATATTCAGGATTTGACACAGGAATTTTCTTTTCTTCGATCACGGAAGGTCAAGGATTGACTTTGTAACAACTGAAACACTTTTCTTATTTCTATTCTTGCCCGTTCGATATTTGCAAGAACCAATTCGGATTTAAAAATAAATCATTTCTGTCTCAATTAAAATTATATTCTTGTTTTATTTAATTTTTAATATATTGTGCTATTTTTTCAATTTTATGTTTGATTAATTACATTCGCAATTCATATTTTGAAGTGTTAGAAATAATTAAAATTTGCAAAATTAAATTGGCCTTTATTTCTCAATTATAGTTAGTTAAATTCTTTGAAGCTACAAATCTACTTACTTAATTTTTCGAATAAACTTTTTAAAATCAAAACGTTTTTATTTTCAGATTTAAAGTTTTGCATTATGTGTTCAAAAAATGTTTTATTTAAACGTATATTCTTTATTTAATAAAAATAATTAATGGAATATCGAAAATCAACTGAGATGAAGTGATTTGAGAATCACTGAGATATTTATTTGTACGAAGAACATATTGTGTTGTGAAGTTTGTTACTTATGGTAATCTACATTCTAGTCCATCTATCTCTTGTGTTACACTCGAATCTGCTCGAGTCGAAATATAGACTGTAATTTTGTAATGGATCAATAAACGGAGGCTGCGTGACGTCAGAGGGTGCGGTAAGGGTAGACGAGCCCAAGAGCGATGACTATATACACACAACCCTCCTTTTCATGTTTAGTGACCACGTGCAGTCGCACGTGCTACATAATTTCGATTGTTCTCGCACAAAAATATTTCCGTATTGAAATTATCGCATGAAAACGATTGTGTAAAATGTTCAAATCGATGATAGTTTTGCGCGAATCTTTCAATGTTGCATCAATAGCCAATGCAATAGCGACAAATAACTTCTTGAATTAAAAAATTTAGTAATATAAGACACATTTGTAAGAAATAAGACACTTTGATATTTTATTTATAGAAAGTTACATGTATAATTTTATTAAATATATAAACACATTTACACATACCTATATTGTATAGTACAACTTTAAATACAAAGTTTGGAATATATTTAAAAAGAATTAGAAGTTTTCTTATGTCCTAAAGGAATGTTTAATTATGTAGTAGCAAAAAGATACAGTAGGCCTTTTGCAAACTGGAAGATTTCTGATCCACCTAGTTTCGATTGGCCATAAACTCTGTCGACGAATGTAATCGGTACCTCTCCTATTGTATATTTGAATTGTCTAGCTCTAACAATCATTTCCATTTGAAAAACATATCCTTTTGATACACATGATTGTATCAGTTTTTCCAGGACATCTTTTTTGTAAAGTCTAATAAAAACGTTATGAAATGAGAAAACAACATTAAAATATATCATACATCTTGTACATACTACGGATGAATCTGACAGATTTACCTGAAACTACCTGTCAAATCACTTGCACCAGGTCTCAGTAAAATTTGAGTTAAGAAATTTGCACCTCTACTGACTAATTTCCTCTTAAAATCCCAACCGTATACACCACCTCCATCAATATATCTTGTACCACTAACTATATCTAGATCAAGATATTTTTGTAACTCAGCCATTTTTGGAATAAATTTTGGCTAAAAAAAAATAATAGAATTCTCTTATGCAAACGTCAGTGTTTCTACTCAATTTTTCAAATAATCGATATGATCCACATACATGATGAGACAAGTCAGCATCCATGATAACAATAAAGTTTCCTGTTGCATATTTTATTCCGTGCGTGTAAGCAGTACCCAGTCCGAGCTTCTTTTCTCTGGGCTTTAGGACTATTTTATCCTCACCGTAAACATGTTGCAGTTGCTTGGCCATGTCCAGAGTTCCATCTGGAGAACCATCATCTATCACGATAACTTCATAAGCGAGCTCGCTGCAATATTGTAGATTTTCGCTTGACGATTCTTTTCAGCATTGCAGCTTAAATTTATTTTTCTCACTTATTTATTATTACATTAAACATGTAACTTTTTTAACTTAAGGTTACATGCAACTATCTAAAAAATTACCTTTCTTCCATATATTTTCTGATAAGCCATATTATTATCGGTAAATTCTCCACTTCGTTGTAAGTGGGAAGTAAAATTGAATATTTGTCATTTTTGCACAATTCTTTTAAATCTTGTTTTCGTTTTTGTTCCTTATTTACCATTTTACCTAATTTTCGCACGAGAATTAACACGAGTTTAAACAAGAATTGACAAGCAAATCAACGGGAAACGTGGAACAACGGGGATCTTTGATTCGACAAGTGGTAAGACTGATTTGTTTGTTTCGTCACATATGTAGTGGCATCACTGGATATTTAAACCCGCGAGTTTTTTAAACTAATCTTGTCAAGTGACAAATAGTTTTGTCTTAATTTTTTTAAAAACATTTTGATTACATATATTCAAAATTGTACTATTCTAAAAAATATAAGTTTTTCGAACGAACTGATCGAAAGGTGTGACATTAAGAGCAAAACATTGAACAAAAACTAAATTAAAACAAATGTAACGGGTAATTAAAAAATATAAGTAAAAAGTATTTTTTTTCCTATTTATTATTGATACATATATTTATATGTAGCAAAATGTTTGAAATGTTTCTTTATTCTTGATCGGAATAAGAGAAAATATTTAGAGTTAAACGCGCGTAATTAAGTAATTGTGCGCATTAAACCAAGTAAAGAAAGATTCCTTTTAAAAAGTAACAACGTTTATTAGTGTTGCTTTATTAAAACAGTTTGCGTTTTATTTCAGAGTAGTATTTATTTATTTATTTATTTTTTTAATTTATTAAATATATCGTTGCATAAAGATGTGCGCACCGATGCTGTTTCATTTATCTTACAACAATTTCTTGCATTACTTTGTCGACTTATCATGTTTTCCGCATTTATTGACTATTGCTTTCTATAATCGTCGATAATCGTTTATCACCATAACGAGTGGTGCATTCCGCAAATATCTGCGAAGATGCTTACACACGCTTATGTTCACATGTACACGTTCGCACACAAATATATATATTTCATATATATTTGGTCCATTGGCCGTTTCCGCCGCGTATACGGCAAAGGTCGACTAACTGATAGTGCCGCACGAATATTTTTCGACACCCTGGACAAACAAAATGTGTGTATTTTATTTGATTAAAGAAAGTACTATATATGTATATAATATTTTTAAAATTATGGGTATACATATGTGCGTGCGTGCGTGCGTGTGTGTGTCATGTAATAAATGTAATATGTATTGTTTTCAGTTGTATTAATTATTTTATAGTAAATAACAACAAGAAGATAAAAACAGATAATACATCTACTATTTACATTTAATTTTAAGATCTATATTTATTATATTTAAATAATCTCTCGTTTTTCTTGCGTAAATCTATATATATATATATGTGAAGACATAGATTACAGATGTGTGTTTAAATGTATGTAAAATGTTCATATCTTTATAAAAGAAATATTTAACTTTTTTGTATTTCACAATTTTACTTCTCTCTGTTGTATATTCCGTTACGAGTTTTAGTCTGACATTTCTTCCAATAAAAACTTAAAGTTTCCAGACGGCCCTGTCGACGATGTACCCCTTACTCTGCGGAACAGCGTGTGTGTTCATGCCGACAACCCCCACTGCCAGCGCCTCCACTTCTGCCGACCTCGAGATAGCCGAGAAGCAGCCGCCGCTATCGAAGCAAACGACGCCGCACTCTACGCTCGGTCGTTCACGGATTCGGAGTGTTCGTTTTTCTGCTCCGATCGGTGTGGTCGGCGTGCATCTGTGCTCTTTGCGAATTTATACACAGCAGTGTCGTCGGTACGTAATAATCCGTTCGGAACTTTTGCTCACAACTTTCGTCGTAAGAAAAACGTCGATCGCGACAAAGCGTAAATCGGAACAAGCGTAAAAAAAAAAAAAAAAAACGAGTGTCGGCCGATTTTGCAAAAAGAAATCGTTCGTGGGTGTGTGTTCGTGTGTCTGTGTGTGCCTGTGGGCGTGTGTGGTGGAACGTATGTGCAGTGATCGTGTATGTGTGTGTGCGCGCCGATCTGTAGGCAATTTAAAATGCCCCGTACGGCGGAAGCTGAGATTTTCAGCGAGACGCGATTGCTGATGGTCACTGTAATTCTCGATGGAGTTTGCGAGATGAAAAGATCGACCAAAGATAATCACACATTTGTGTCAATCAGTTTATTGAGAAGAGCGAACCGCGACCGGACAGATCTAGGACAACGACTTCGCGTGCGCGTCTTGACGCGTTAACGTTTTCTCAAACTCGCTTCTCTCAAAGACTGAGAGAGACCTAAACCAACATGGAAATCTGCGAGAAATCTTTTTTGTTCGTTCCTTAGTTCCTCACATAGTTGAGAGATTTCGTTCTTTTTATCTCGCCGAGAAGGGATCTTCTCAGCAAGAGACCGTAACTTTTTTTCTCTCATCTTAAGCAAGAAAGATCGGCGCCGTCTACACTTGTCTTCTCACGGACTGAGAAATCGCAAAATATCATCTCCGTGATAAACGGGCCACGATTTCCGCAGCATCTGGATCTTCAATCATCTTATTTCCTCGTTTTCTCTCGACTTTTCACCAAGCTATCTGCACATACAGTCGAATTACATGATGTAACAACAATGACTACATGTGTAGATGTTAGCGTCACGTTTCAATTTTAGCGACGCGATCAATCGACTTCCGCGAGACAACGCGCTTGCTTGAGGGTCGCATAATAATTTTGGACTCCGCAATGGTCCTCTCTGCAGAGAAGGGAGGGAAAGGGGAGAGCGACGACGTGTGAGGAAGTCGTTTGAATTTAGCGGGGGGGTCCATGGACACCGTGGCTAGCTGCGAGCAGCATCGGATGGCAGGCATGGCGCACACACCGTTGCGAGGGGTAGATTGAACCGCTCCGCACCCTGCGATCAATAAACTCGGCGAGAGGGAGCAGCCCCGTGACGAGCCGTTCAACTCCGCCACATTTTGTCTCTCCCTTCTCTCTCCACGTTTCTCTCCAACCCTCTATCGCGATCGCTTTTCCCTCCCCCCCGTCTTCATCCCCTCGTCATCGTCGACGTTGTCGACTCGCTCGCTGTTCTTCAATCGTAACCCTTGCTATCAGCGATTCAACACGTGCACTTCCACACTTTGTTCCGCGGCAAGATAGCGTTCTCTTGCGCTTGACAGATTATTGCGGATTAACAAAAGCCAAAGAGGCTCGGCGACTCTCTTTTCAGAATTTTTCACCCTAACTTTAACCGTCTGCTTTTGCAAAAAGTTGCACGGTGAGCGGCGAGTTGTGAGAAATCATGGTTTTTTTTTTTTTAAGCGAAAAGAATTTTTAATTTACAATAAAATCAGAAGTAAGCTACAAAATATGTCGCAAAATTCTAGACAATCGGTTCAGGAAGTTCAATTAGAACTTTTAGACCACACATTTTCCTGAAATGTTTGTAATAAAGAGTTAAACCGGTCACAATTAGACACACATCTGATGACACACAGAACAAGAAAGATATAAGAATGTAATATTTGATTTCTGACAAGCGACAACGACCGACAATTACATGCACTTTAGCGATAAAGATTAGCCTACGTGAGTTCTTTAATGCATGCTAAACTACCACACGTATTGAAAGTGATTGTGTCCGAACGGGGTTACAAACAAACCGACCTTGAACCAGAAAGAGTTCTTTTGCATTCTCATCTGCCAAACTAGCAAAGCGCTTTAATTAGTTAAACGTGTCAAATACATATATTCCAAAAAAATTTTTCTTTATTATTTAAATACCATCGAGGCGGATCATCAGCAATCGTTTTAAGATTGAACGAGCATATAGTTCAATCGGTGTTTATTTTATGTGAAATCAGGTGAAAATCAGTGCGCTCAGAGGAGTCAGCATAAGGATGTGGCGAGAACCTCCAGGCGGGGGGTGTAAGACACCCACCCATATCGTCGCTATGCTCCTACTGGCTGGTGTTCTGGCATTGACAATGGGTGAGTCAACTTCGTACAATCTTATTCACACGTTTCTTAACGTGACTCGACAACAATTTCATAGAAGCATTGACCGTCGATCATGCGGTCTGCATCAAAAATATTTTCACGCTAACAGATACAAGCCGCGACTTCTTTTCGTCAAATGTTTTATAGCAAAATGCAACTAACTTGATGTAAATGTTATATACAAAAAATGTGACACACATGTATATACATTATAAGAATTTGATCTTGTGAGTAATAGAGATCACAGATTAAAACCATAAAAATTGTGCGATATAAATATTTTCGTTCAAAGTCGCGAACTTTTTATTCGCGTGTATAATTTCTCTGAAAGATCTTTCAAACAAGAATCTTAGCGCGTAAAACTGCGAAGTTTATCGGCTGACACAACAGTCCGTTCTCTGTGACGTACATATCTCGAATATGCACAAACTAGATAGTCAGTAGATTTTTTTCTGATCATCAGCACGTGCAAGATTAGCAAAAAAGAAGTTACTCACTCTGTAGATTAAAACAACAATTTTTTTAGTAGATATCAATTAGCAGATATCAAGATATTTAGTTTTGCTACTCAGTGCGGACATCGATTTAAAAAATTAAAAATTATTTTCTAAGTTTTATACATAAAGCTATTTTTTTATATATAGTATATCGAGCAGATAAGAGATTGATATTGTTTTCTGAAAATACATAAACGATACATATCGAGAATAAGAGTGCGCTATGTAATTTTCTCAAATGTCCAAGCGCTAATTTTAATCTCGTTCTTTGTTATCTACTATAACGGTTCGCGCTGCACACTGCTTTTTTTGGCGTGATCCCGCATCCGCGTATTTTGAACTTCTAACAGGCGGTTAGCTGGGACTGTGAAAGGTCTCGGAGTATAGGTACGAGCAATCACGAAGCGCAGCTGCCGGAGGATCGACTAGGATGAAGGGGACGAAGAGAGACCGCGGAAAGAAAGGAACAGCTGCTGTTCCCAGAATGCAGGCTCACATCATGCTTCGGAGAGAATTGGACTCGGTCGTGGATGCTCGGCACCAGGTGAATCCTGAGGAGCGCTGCTTCGTCAGAACTTCATCTGAATTTTATCGCAAAGCGTGAACGAAGTCAAGGTTGTTGAATATATAGAAAACACTGTTAAAAAAAAAAAAAAAAAAATCACTCAAAGAGATCAAGATACTTCGATTTCACTGAAAATTGAAATCAGAAATGTGAATAGACAAAAAATATTTTACATAGTATTGATGTAAATTGATAGATGCGATCAGAAATACAAATGCTAAATGATTTTGCACGGATTAACAAAATCACATTTTTTTTGCTGGGTATATGAAGATCGTATTGTTTTCATTTAGTAAAAAGCTCGATGTTAAAAAAAAAAAATATCTGACAATCTCAGAAATAAACGCTAGTTGAACCGAAGAAATCTTACAAAACACCAAAAGGCCGAGGTTTAAGAATTTCTTCAGACTTCTCTCACCTACGCGAAGATCATGTGTCCACCCTCGCAGTCATTGCATGCGTACTTAACGTTTAAAAGAAAGCGTTTATTTCAGTGATTTTATAACGCAATTTTGAAGACATTAATTTATTTAGATGACACATTTCTCATAAAACAATTATAAATTTATAGTTTGTAAATAGAACACAGGTGCGTAAAAAATTTTAGTAAAATAAGAATTTATTTTAGGAGAGACTACGCGTAACAAACAATTCACGTTTTTCAATTCACACGCTAACAAAAGATCGAAACAAAAACGAAAGACCGCTCAATCGAGATTCGAATCTTCTTTCGGCGTCATATAGACTTTATAATTTTTCAAGATATTTCTCATTCTTATGCACGTCGCGACGATCTTACGTTCCGACACACTCGTACGCACGAGTCAATACCACACACGTGAGTCACACGTGCGACGATACATGCGTGTATGCGTGCTGGAAATATATTCGATGCAGCGTGTCCGGAGTTTCAAAGCTACCTCTATATATAGATTGCAGAGCGGTTGTCGACCGGGAAGAATCTCGTCTTTCATCAGGATAGGCGTGAGAGTTTGATCTCGAAAAAAAAAAAAAAAAAATTTTACGAGGTACTTCGATCGATCGATACCCTTTCGTAATTGCGTGTGTACTACATCTGTCATGTAGCTGCGACAATACTCCGTGTCGTTGTTACACCACGCACGTGCCGCAAAACCCATAAATAATACAACCCACTGAAACAGCTTATGTGTCTATTGTATAATACCCATAAATTAGTATAATCCCATGTGTGACCGTCCCCATGTTCGACGTTACCGTAATGTTGAAACGTCATAGATTTAACTTGAATAACAGATTTAAGAGAGAAAAGAAAACAAACCAAACGAGAGAGGACGTATATAAAATATATTCATATATAAAACAAATGATATTAAAAACTTGCATTTTGCTGTTCGCACCGCTTTGATTCTGTTCAAGAAAGTTTCGAAGCGAAACGTGAAAATGAAATCGCCGAGAAAAGACACACAAGCGATACATATAAAAATACTATGCCAACTAACTACTTATGAGAACGAACGGCGCATATCTGCAAAAATTCGGATAACACCTGTTCTTTATACCTGTACGTGCCTGACATTCGCGTTTCAACAGCACACGCTTCGCCAACCGGTTTCCTTGTGACTTGATTTTATTATACTGCGCCGAGAGAGTTTATTTGTTCCTACTTTGGTACAGAGTCGTCGTAGGTGAATCAGTAGGTGGCTTATACGCGCGAAGAAAATAGTATAACATATGCTCTCTGCTGCATAAAATTCGACCGTCCTTTGCGAGCAAATTGATTTACAAAAATATTTTTATCATTCCATTACCACACAAAACGCCCTGCAGTTAATTGAATTGAACAAAAATAAAATAAATATTGTGTAGAATAATTCGAGCGGATAATAAACGCTATTTGTGATGTGGAACGTGTAACCTAGAAATAAATATGCAATAAATTTGCAATCAATGATAACTTATGGAAATTGACGGAAATGCTTTCTTTGCTATCGATGCTGCTGACAAAAGCAAAGAGCGCAATTCTCCACGACGGAAAAGGAATCACGCATTGTCGTCTCCCTTATGGTCACGTGACGTTGATCGCATATTATTCAATAACAGGCCTCGACAACCTGTTGTTTGCTACAATTGGCAACGCGCCAATTGAATGTGGGTGTCGCGTATCCTGGTTGAAACGGATGATAAGCGAAACTCGAAGATGCGAGACAAAAAAAGGTCTCATGACACTTTAAATTAATTGGCTTTGTGATAATATTCCCACAAGTCATATTAAGTCGCCCTTACATTTCGCTCTAGTTCACAGAGCGTTTCTTTTTTTTTTGTAAGTAAATTCCGCAGCTCTTTAGAATTAATTGAACTTAATCATTACACATTTGTCTCTATAAAACATTTTTACTCGAAGTCGTGGCTTGTCGTATACCATTTAGAAGCAAACATAAAATTAGGTATTTATTTTGAGGATAGTTTTGTGTAATGAGAATCTTTTCTCATCTTTTATTCAACACTAAAATTTTTATTCAGAGAATTGTTTACTATTTTTAAATAAAACCGTCCGGACATTGCGTACGTACAAGATCAATGAAGATCTCTGTGTTTGCAGCAGTTTCTGCTGAAGATGAATCTATGGGACCGGTGTTTGTCAAGGAACCACCAAACCGAGTCGATTTCTCAAATGGAACGGGAGCTGTCGTTGAATGCCAGGCAAGAGGAAATCCCCAACCGGACATCATCTGGGTTCGTGCCGACGGAACTGCTGTAGGAGACGTTCCCGGACTGAGACAGGTGTAGTGTCAATCTTAGATGCTGTTCCCTTTATTTGAATTTCACTTGTGTATACCGGTATATCAAATTTGAAATTTGTTTTCACGTTTGATTCGATCAAGGTTTTTTTTTTCAACGTACACTAGAATGTGGCATTTATTTAAAAAACTAGTTTATATAAAAAAAATAATGTTCGGATGTTCTCAGAGAAGCTATTCTGTCTAAAAATGACTTGTGTCTTTAACACGTAGAATGATGAACTATTCTAAATTGCTGGTAACTCATTCTAGTGTTAAATGCGTTTGTGCAATATGTGAATGAAATCGTTAAACGCCCATGCCATCCCACATTCATTCACGCGATCGTGAAGGACGCGTTAATTACTTCCCAAGCTGACTGCATACATAATTAGAATTTGTTTCTAAATACGGTTATTGGCCCCTCGCAGGTTTTGCCGAACGGAAATTTGGTCTTTCCTCCTTTCCGCGCCGAAGATTATCGTCAGGAAGTTCACGCTCAGGTCTACAGCTGTTTGGCACGTTCCCCCGCAGGTTCGGTACACAGCCGTGATGTCAACGTGAGAGCCGGTAAGCATCGAACTTCATATTTATTTTATATGAATATGTATTGTTTAGCCATCTACGGTAACTTAAATGTTCTCCAAAACCAACACCTTTTGTTAAAAACTTTCTTGACAAGAGAATCTCAGTACTGATAATACGTACGTTTGGTATTAATTAAATAATTATATTTTTGATAATTAAAATTTTATACGATTAAAATTGTAAGAAAATAAAATGTCAAAAACACAATTATTTCTCTAAATCCAGTCAAAAATAAATTGTCGTGTGACGAAATTAAGGTCGTCGGTTTTATGTGAGCATTTGTATTATAAAATAAAATTGTTTTTTGATTATTTTGACAATTCTTCTTAAAACATTTTAACAAGTATATAAATTATAAAGTGTAAAAGGTTTATCAAATGATATTATTCAAATTTTGCTATTACCTGATTTTACCTTTTAAAAGTTTAAATTTTATTAAAATGTTTAATTAATTCATATATATAATACATAACCGACATCTACATTGTTTAAAATAGTATTTTAGATAGAATTCGAAAGATGGCTAAACTTGTATAAAAATAATTTTAAAGATTCTTTTCAGCTAGGATTCGCACTATTTCATACACATTTGTTCAACGTCTCATTTTGAAAAAGCACTTTAATTCAGTAATGGACATCGGTGTCAATTTGACGACGTAATGCAATTAAAAAAAAAAAAAAATTGTTACAGCGGTTGCTGCTTTTTTAATTATCTTCTTCGATCTCTCTCTCTGTCTCTCTGCCGCCGCCGTTTAAACGAATATATACATAGGTATACGTACAATTCGTTCTCTAGTCTCAATACTCAGAAGTAATTAGAAAATTACTTTTTACGCGGTTGACATAATCTTATTCCTGTGCAATGTCATCGTATGTCTCGCGAGATTGAAAATATTTCTGAATCACACAGTGATGTCATTAGGTTTGACGTCACGTCGCGGTATCGACCGTAGTAACACAGTTTCCACAGTACAAATACACGTGATCTTTACATTACTAACTGTAAAAACTCATACATTTGTCACGGAGAATTTTATTAACTGTGATATTTGAAAAAAGTTTAACGAACATGTAGCACGTGGCATAATTATATAAGAGCAATATTTTATATTTCTACACATTAATTACGGCCTTGATACAAAAAAAATGTTTACGGAAGTTTTATAAAACAATATTACTGACACATATTCAGAGCTATTGAGGCTGGAGCGAAACGAAGCGCTCGATGCGCTACTTTATGTGTACGAAATTTATAGTTGTGGCGCAGTATTATGACACCGACGTCAATAAGGAATATGCGATCCGTGGGAACAGTGCCATTTTGAAGTGTGTCGTTCCTTCTTTCGTCGCCGATTTCGTCAAAGTCCTGTCCTGGCACACGGATCAGGGAGAGGAATTCGTGCCCGGCGATGATTTTGGTATCGCTCAGAATACTTCGATCAGCAAATTGATCTCCTTATTTCAGTTGCGAGCAGAAAATTTCGTCGTTGCATCTTAACCGTACAATTTATTGACAAACCGCATTTTTATTTTGATATCATAATCTTTTTTAAAATCTTTAAAAAAGTCTCAGTAATAATATAAATCTCTTATTAAATAAAATATATAACAGACATTTCGAAAAGCATTTTCTTTACGATAAAACAAATTTGTTTCAAATTTTATCGAACTCTTTTATCGCGACGTACTTCTCAATTGATTTATTTCCCACGCAGAAACAATTAAGAAATAATATCGTTATTACTCGCTCGTGTTTCAATTCGGGGGCTACAAATGCATCGTGTCGTTTGGTTGAATAACTGACACCATCCGTGCGACTCGGTCGCCTCCCGTATATTGATCTCAATTGCCGTACGGTGGCGAAATGCAAATCCATTTGGAGCGGCTCAACGCGAAAGTATATGGGTCGCTCACTTTCCACGGCCAACACGAATATACATATATATATATATACGAGTGCATCGTCATTCGTCTCGTTAACGTCGTTTCCCGACTCGATATATTCTCGCGTGTTAGCCGAAACAATCGGATATTTGACTGATATCCGCTATCTCTCTCGATTTTCAGTTAAACCACACGGTTATACAGTATATTTGATTTCAGCGCGCCGCGTTTGTATATTTTAAATATGTGTCAGTTAGTTTAACATTTACTTTCGGTCTTATCTTTCTTCTCTCTGTTCGGATAATTAATAGGCGGGAAAATGCTGTGATTAATTGATGAATTAAACAGGATTAGAAACTTATAACTTTTATTGACTTTTTTGACACATAAGTTTAAATAAAATCTAGCATATCTCTTAGCAGATGATAAATGAAAAATCAATCTGTGTTTGAAATTTTCCTAACATGTCATATATACGTTTGGTAAACCAATCAATATATATGTGCAATGCATACGTAGATACGTAAGTGTCGGAGTTGAATGTCAATCGATCGTGACGCTCGCTCGGTGGCAGCTGCGACATAAGATGCGACAACGTGAATTGTTCTGCTCGCGCGCGGGGCAAATATACATTTGCTCACAAAGCTGCCGTCAACGTCGTCGAGATTTCACAGCCGGTTTAAATAAAAAAAAATAACTTTCTCTCTCTCTTCGCGTTATTTAAATTCATACCTTCCCGAACCGCAAAATTACATTCAGCCAGCAAATTTCACGAAACACGACTTACGCTACAATTATATTTTGACAAATATATTTCCGCTCGTTGGAGCGGAATATATCGAAGAGAGCGGCACAAAGCAGATAAGAAACAAAACAAACTCGCGCGAATTACCTCGCCCGTTTATTGCAGTGGTGCATCAATATTATCAGTCCGAAGTGAACAATGAGTACGTGATACGCGGCAACGCGGCCATTCTCAAGTGCAGTATACCGAGCTTCGTCGCGGAGTTCGTTCAAGTCGTCGGCTGGCAAGACGATCAGGGAAACTCTTTCAATCCGGACGAGGACAACGGTATAATGATGACAGAAACATTTTAGGAAATGTTCTGAAAGTCGAAGAACGCGCGTGGGCAGCGAGTTAATTAAATTAGTCAACGTCGTCGTTTTATTCGTTTGGCAACAACATCAGAAATGTAATCTCGCACAGATCTTGTTCGAATTAATCGGAAAGTCCAGAATCTGGAAGGAACAACTTTCTTGAAAAAAACTTATTAACTTTTTACATCAAGCAGATGAAATATTTCGCGCATTGAAAACGTTTATTATATTTTACTTAGCGTGAATGTGTGCTACAACTGCAGTAATATCTTAGATAGTTCGAATTGCGCGAGGCGTATATTTACTATTTAAGAACCAGTTTTTCGTAATTGCACAGCGCGGAGCGTAGGCGCAAATCGTATAATGTTAGGTGTTACCAGAAGTCCAGTGCAACAACCGGACCAATCGCAAATCTCTTCGAGATCGCAATCGTCTAATTTCCTCTGGCGTCTAATGCATTTCATTTCTTCACAGAACGATCGAATCAACGCGTATAACAGAGCGTTTGTTTCACAAACGTGCAATGAGTTGCGTGTACTGTAATAATTTTGAAGAATGGCGCGTCTCTTGAACCGAGAAAATTGATTCTCCTCGATTAGGCACGCAGCGATGCGACGCAAAGTTGGGGAGCGCGCGCGCGCGATGTGCAATATTTAGTTACACAATGCATCGTTATCTTTCACAGTCGTGACTCAGTATTACGAGGCGGAAGTTGTGTCGGAATATGTGATACGTGGAAATGCGGCTATCTTGAAATGCACCATACCGAGTTTCGTTGCTGAATTCGTGTCGGTCGAATCGTGGGTGGGAAGCGACGGCTCAACCTTCAGACCGTCCACAGATTATGGTACAACATACGTGTATATACGTGTTTCATATGCATTTATGATTTCTCCTATCCACTCCTTCCAAAAAAGAATCTAATCTCGACAGGGGGTGATATGATGGGAAGAAGAGAAAAGAAAAGTTTTTGTGTACTCTGTGTTACAGTCTGTTTCATTTATATCATTTATTCATCTCGAGAAAAATTATTAACGTCACATCAAGAGATCATGTTTTTTAATCAATTTTAATAAAAAGTTATCTAAAATATAGTTTTTTTTTATCATTTTTGTATGACACATTAACGATCTTTTTTTTAAGCCGTTCTCACATAGCTTTATAAAACTGTTTGGGTTTCAGCGAACTCATCAGATAAAACATTCGGTTTATTTTGGAAACCATTTTGTATCATATTTAAGACTGTAAAAAACCATACAAACTTTTGCACACCAAGTTGGACCAATGTGAGTACGTCTCAGTTCGACTCCCAACGTATACGAGAGTTGAGCAATTTGTACGACGGTCGCTGATGAACGCGTCGGTCGATAAGTACACACACGACGAGTATGTACACAGAGCAAGGAAATTCTCTTTCCGGTTATATTACCCTCTGGCTCTCCTGCTGTTCGGACACCCTGTCCCCTCGTCCAATTTTGTCAAAGTTCAAAGTGGCACGTGGTAACGATTCGTTTCCGCCGGCCACGCGATCTGGTCTCTGACGGCGCGGCTGAACGGCGGCGGCAGTATACATACATACATACACGAGAGTTAATAAACCATCCGGTGGCTCTCACGCCGCGGAATTACAGCAGGCTTAAGAAAATAAGCCATCGTGCGCCATTGTGCGTCTAGAACGGAAAATATCGGAAAAAACCTCCGGCCGCGAGAAGCTGCATAGAAAAAAAATTCTACGATGGGGCTGAACTTCTCCTGCGCGTTTTCTCGCGATATCAAATATCATATACAGGTTTATCAAACACGATCTAAATAAATAAACCGCTGCAAAGTACACGAATCAAAGTACAGGAAAAATCAAAGAAACAGATATATATATTTTTGGAATTTTAACGTTTTATCGGATCTGTTTTATATTCTTGAAATATACCGAAGCACAGAAGACACAGTTGTTTTTACGACACTTTTAAAAATGCTATTGGTTTTGATTCATTGATGCGGATGATATCTTTAAAGCTCTGTAGCTCTCTCTTGAAATTTCTTGCGGTGTTTATTCACGAACGAGCTAAACGAGTAAAACGTCTAATTATATCTTCTTCCTTATGATTCACACTCACGGAAGTCGTGAGTCGTTTCCATCTCTACAATGAGATTATAATCCAGAATAAATATAGACTGCGTCCTGTGTAAGGCGGATTGCGTATTTTTAAACAATATATATTTTTTAATTTGACACTTTTTTCCTTTCTCTTAATCTGCACGTAGTTGTCACTCAGCCTTATAATCCGGAAATATTGACCGAATACGTTATAAGAGGAAACAGCGCGATCTTAAAATGCAGCATTCCCAGTTACATCGCAGAATTCGTTACTGTCGAGGCGTGGATTCGCGAAGACGGAGAGATCTACCTGCCGGAGGATCCTGCGGTCGTGCAGGGTATACTACAGATCTTTGGCGGTCCTCAATTATCTTAGGCATTCCAACCGAAAAAACTCGTATATGGATTAGAATTTGTATTCAAGATTTCTGATAATATATTAGTTTTTTTTTTTTTCAATTTTAATTGCTAAAACTGTCTATCTAAAGATCTCAGAAGATTTATTTTGTTAGCAAAAAATATTAGATATAATTTATTTCATTATTGAGAAAATTGATCGCATAATTGGGATTTAGTTTGCAATCAGTACAAATACAGTTTTTTTAAAACTAGTTTTATTGCGCGTTGAAAAGTTTTCAATTTTTCTTTGACGATCTAATCCTATACTAGTTTAATATATGTGTACGTGGAATGCAACCGCCGCTTATTAGTGTTGTTAATGTTGCTAATCAAAATAACATGTGCTCACTTTCTCTTTCACAACCTCGTTACAAAATGTTTGCATAACTTTAATATTTGTAGATCCGTTCACTTTAATTCTCTCTGAAAAAAAGTATGTGCATTCGCATTTCATATTTGCGGAATAATTCTACAAATTGAGGCATGTTTTTTTTTTTTTTTATAAAAAACAATATTAGAGTTTTATTACGTCACGTTAATTAATTTAATGCATTAATTTAAATCGATGCAATTAGACGTCAAAATATCGAACTTTGAGAAGAAGTGGTTTATTTTTTTCACCTAATGTCTCCAAAAAGTTAACCACGTTGTTCGCGCCGGCAGTCGTTTCGCAGTTCTACGTCACCGAGGCCGAGAACGAGTACGTGATTCGAGCTAACAGCGCGATCATGAAATGCAAAATACCGAGCTTCGTGTCTGAGTTTGTCTACGTGGATCAGTGGGTGGCCGACGATGGGACGGTTTACACACCCGGACAGGAATACGGTATGACGCCGGTCGATACCGGCGTGGTGTGCGTTTTATTGTCCGCGGAACAGCTTCTGTGTATTCTCTTCTTACCCCGCACATTCTGTGATGTTCCTCCCTCAAACAAGCTCTCTCTCTCGCACTTTCTTCTCGTTTGTTTCGCCACAGCTGTCAGCTGCAGCTCGCGGTCATTATTTTCTCAACTTTTACTTTCGGATCTACTGAAAAGTCTCTTGTAATCGAACAAAAATACATTGTGCGTGTTAAGAAACACGTTTCGCTATTATATTACGATGTCAAATGTTTCGAAATATCGACATTTTGCGGATGATATCAAAATGAGTTCAAAAGCGTTTTTTTAACTAGCTAAAAATAATAACGTAAAAACATTTTTGCTGGTTTCTTGATTCAATTCGAGTAACGTTCGTCAAGAGAGACTTTATTATAAGTTAAATCATCATCATGATCGCTTTCTGAGAAATCACGCGTTGCAGTGGTCCAGCAATTCTACGAGACGAGGGTCATCGATGAGTTTGTCTTACGCGGAAATACGGCAACCCTGAAGTGCCTCGTGCCGAGCTTTGTGGCGGATTTTGTAGATGTGATCGAGTGGGTGGCTGAGGATGGTTCGACGTATAATACGAATAATCAACAAGAGAAGGGTACTTACTGTTATTGGTTGCACGAGACCAACATTTATCGAGATTACGTTCTTTTAAAATCTCTCTCGATAAATTTTACCTTTATTGCAATAATACACACTTTTATTTGCGGATCAAGAACATTTTCTTCAATTTCAAGAATTTTCTCCTTTGTACCTTTCCGTTTTTCCAACTTTTCGAGATACTTGCATCACAGCACTTTGCGAATTAAATTGCAATGTGCTCAAGTGGGCAGAGACGGTTTATTCGCGCATATACGCAGATGTTTGCATCGTTAAGAAAAGCGCGCATTCTTAGCGGAAAAAGAGAGGTTTGAGGATAGGGTTGGAACGCGGATTTTGCGCCTAGCAAAAGTTTGCCCTCTTCGATTCGCCGCCATTCGGCAAGGGCGAACAGAGGCAGAGCACGCGGCTGGCAGTGGCCTCGTTCGATGCGATCCTCGGATTAGGTTAAGCCGGATTAATCAGGCCGAGAAGCGAATTAACACTCGCGCGACCAGCTTGATCCACTTTTGTTAAAGAGAGAGGATCGTTAAAGGGTTATTCCCGGAGACGTAATCGAATTTACTTTACGGCCGCGGTAGCCAGCATCTGGTGGCATTGTGTTATTAATTAACGAGGCTAGCACCAATATGCGTTATAAATTTCTATATTTCAATTATGGTTTTTCGTATTTAAAATAAATTTTGTTCAAGTTTCTTTTTTTTAGTAATTTTTAACAATTATCTTTACAGAATAAAAATCGAACAGTTTTTGAATAAAAATAATTTACAAAAAATTTTACACGCCGTCAACTGTGTTTAGGCTCACATTGGCCAATCTATTTTCCTCAAGTTTTTCACAAAAATAAAACTGACGAAATGTATCCGTTTAGCAGAATCGATCAAAATTTTAGATGAAGAAAGGAATTTTTTTGTTGTAAAGCACGTGCTATCCGTCAGTAAGTCCCTTATTGTGATCGATTGAATGTAAATCGAATGTATTATTTATGTTCAAATCGCTGTGAAATTAGAGAACAAAAGCGAGGATGGTGTAATTTGCAATTAGATTAAGTCCGGATTAGTCGGATCAATGTTTAGCCTTCATCAAGACTCGCTGTATTCGACAGAGAAGCTCAATCGGAAACTGGCTGCTGCACACGGCAGTCAGTTTGCCGGGCAAGGGGTTCATTGAAATTTTAATCGGCACGATCAAAGCGCGCACACTGGTGATACTCGCAGTCTAAAACAAAAGCCAAAAGCGTTTTTTTCTCTCTCTCGCTTCGTTACAGTGGTCGCCCAGTACTTTGAGGTTCAGGTTTACGATCAGTTCGCGATACGCGGCAACGCGGCTATTTTCAAGTGTCAAGTTCCCTCGTTCGTGGCCGACCACGTGGACGTGGCAGGATGGATCGATTCCAACGGCGGCAGTTACGTCGCCGACGAACAATCATACGGTAGTCAAAACTCAAAGGATGCGCCGTATTATTATTATTATTATTATAATTTTTTTTTTTTTGTAAATCGGATGGACACAGGTTGTGATCAGAAGAGGCGCAGATTGCCTGCCTTTACAAAAGAACTGGCTCGATCGAAATGATTTGATATCTTTTTGCACGTTTTCTATAGTTTTCTCTCCTTTTTTTTTACTGCATCTTTCTTTTACAACGCATCATATTTTTAGTTAATTCGTTTTAAATACAAACGCGCAATAAGACAAAGTGACAATACAAATAGACAGTGCGAATACACACACACATGGGGCTCAGATATTTCATTGTAACACGCGCAGCTGTGCGCTACTTGCTTATTGAATATACATAACGAATCGTAATGTTGAATATCGATCGAATCTATTTCAAGACCAGTCGAGTGACCAGTTTCTCTTTGATACACAGGAACGTATTCTTTATTCTCGCCGCGACAGAGTAAAGTTATTTTAATTCGCAAACATGACAGGGATATGGATAAAATCTTTTAATTATGATGACGACGCGTCGTCTCGAAATACGGACTTTATCGAATTATTGAAAGTTGGTGATGGTTATGTGTACGAGAACATCGTCTGGATCGTTCGTCGATCATCTACTTGTTACATAATTACTAAAGTAGTTTTATTAATTAAATTTTCAATTTCGTCACAAGTAGATACTTTCGAATACCGTTATGTTCTGCTAAATTACTTTTGTAGTGACAGAAAACATGTTTATGTCGCGCGTTGTATTTAATTGAAATTTTGTTAAAGCGTGTAATATATTAAATAACTTTGTCGACAAAGTTATCCTTGAGTCATTAGCGATAGATATTACATAACACATCTTCCGATCGGACTTTTTAGATATAACATACTCGCTTCAAGTATTACCTTACTAGTAATTATTAGAAAATCACGTAACTGAAATTGAAGACGTTATACTCAACCGGATTATGTATTCGCAATCAGATATTTCACGATCACGGGATCCGTGCAAACAGACACATATAAAAACCAAAAAAAATCGAACAAACACATTAATCAATTATTAATAATCGGTGTATTACCAATCTATAATCTAGCAACAAAAAAAGTCTTCCGCTTGAATTTCGCACAAAACTAATTAGAATAATTTTTATTTATCAATGGTGAAGCTTGATGTAATTTTTTTTTGTTTCTTTTTTTTATCTTATCGTAATAAATATCGACGAACGATCGACACGTATTGCAAGGTGGGATATGTGCGCCTCATTTATGGTAAAGTCGGAAATCGGTGTCTGGTTGCAGTTGTCGGGCAGCGGTATGCAGTGAACGTGATGGACGAACATGTCCTTCGGGGGAACGCTGCAATTATCAAGTGTCACATACCGAGCTTCGTCGCCGAATTCGTCGAGGTTGACTCTTGGATCGAAGACGAGACCACTAATATATATCCTAGCACCGATTACGGTACACGATGCGCATCATCATGTTTTTTTTTTTTTTTTACACATTCTGTCACAATTTTGCTTGAGATTATTCGTTTCGAACTTCTCAACTTTAGGAGAGATCTCGCAAAATCCACAAAATTCAGCGAAATGTTGTTCGAAAAATTATGCATGGAACGTAGAAGAAAATTATTTTATTGTTCTCGATCGAAGTCATGCAAAAAGTTATCGCGAGATAATAGCTTCACAAGAAAGGATGTGTTACAGATTGAGGGACGGATTCTTTGACGAGTCAATGTTTTCTTTGTATCTTTTCCTTCTTTCTGCGTTTTATGTTATTTCTTTTTTGTGTTCTTTGTTTGTTTTTTGTATCCACATTCTGTGTAGGAGCGTAATCTTTCAATCGTTCGTCAAACGCAGCATTACGATGCTCGGCAAGCAATTAGTGTACCGCAATGTGGTTCAAGGATTCTCCCATGAGAGTTGTTCGATCACCATCCGGTAATAATACTCTGCTCTTGATGATAACTTTCGTGTTCATGGAAAAAAAAAAAAAAAACATTCTCGGCTCGGCCGTGACAGATAAAAACCTGGTGCTGACTTCAGAACCGTGAAAGATCGTAATTACGATGGTTTTTTTTTTGTGCAAAGTTCAATACAAAGTAGTCTCGATGGAAAAACCGAAACAAATGGCGAGAAAAAGAAATAAGCTTGGTCGTCGACGATGCGAGTTTTTTTAGCTGGCAATATAAAACAATCAAGTTGATACGAAAACCAGGTCGTCTAAATCGTTCCATCGGCCTCCGCTCTATCGATCAAATATTAATATAATCGAAAACAAACGATATTGCGTCACGACAACGCGAGCAAAACAAAAGATATGCGTTTTCGTTTCACAATCGGATGTCCCTCGTTTCAAAAAAAATAAATCACGTGTGAAAGTGAAATTTCATGTAGAGAAATTTGTACGACGTTGACTGCCGCTGCTCGCGCTGTTCCAGACCTCTCTTCCCTCTTTCCATCGACTTTTTTTTTTTTTCCAATCGTTCGCGATTGGATCACCCCGTCTCTTCTCACCTGTGTCCTCCACTTTCACTATATATGTGGTAGTAGCTAAATGGTTATGGACACCGCTTGTGTGTGATCGCATGAAACTAGTTTGCCTATCCAGGAAGTCTCGATTTGTCGATGAGATTCCGCCGCAAAAGCGATCCCCGATTCGTTAGAGAGGCGTTGGGACGGAACTTTCAATCACAGCAGAGATTAACTTCAACAAGTAATTCATAGCATATTTTGTCATAATAAAAATCGGGGTGATCGTATAAATTTCATCAAATTGATATTATCGTAAAGTTTTTATTAAAAAAATCTGATATAAAAAATGAAGAGAACGTTAAAATTAATTATTTATGATATTTCCTGGATGTTTCAACGAGCACAGGGGAATGTTGCGCGCGCGATGCATTTTTATTTATACAACAAGATGAAGACGTGATTTTGCATAAATGTCTTTCTCATTAGTCTATTCCGCGACGACGCAGGCGCAAGATTTCCCATGTCGTTGTTTGGCGAACGTGCTTTGATTCCGTAAGGAAATTCCGTCGAACATTGACGCGGAATATAGCCAAAGGGTCCGCGGCCATTCAACGTTCGACGAATTTATGTACGAAGGATGCATGCATATAAATCAAGACGGCATTGTGCTCGAAGTCTCGTGACTTTACATACGCACGCATTCGAGCACCGTGCTATTGCGTCGTGATAATCGACTTCTCCTTGGCGCTAACAACATATATGTATATATATGTATGCCAGTAATTAATCAAATAATCACTTAAGTAACTTAATGATGTCACGCAATGTCAAGTGCGATAATCAGTTGTTGGTCGATTGTCCTGACGTGACACGCAAATGAGACCTATGTATACATTTGCTAACGTACGCTAATTGTTTGGGCGGATTTAGACGGAAAATACTTGGTACTGCCATCCGGAGAATTGCACATCAGAGACGTCGGCCCCGAAGATGGATACAAGACTTACCAATGTCGCACCAAGCACCGTCTCACAGGTGAAACTAGGTTATCCGCCACAAAAGGACGTCTGGTCATTACCGGTGAGTCAAAACGCAAAAGTGTTTCAATCCTCTCTTTCTCATATAGAAATCACGATTCTGATTCAGCACCGCTCTCTTTACAAAAAAAAAAAAAAAAATAAAAAACAATGTTTTGATCATTCTTCAATGTGAGCTGAAATTAATAGCTTCATTAATCAGCGTCTGTGTGTTTTTCAAACAAAATCAGAATCGTGTTTCTGGTTTCAGACCCGGATATCATAAATCATATTTTCCAATATTCGCGGATCGATAATAAAGTTGATATTATTAATTGCAGTTTTTTTTTTTACTTTTCACAGTTAGTTAATTATGCAAGATAATTAATTGTAAAATCGTTATTATACAATAGTTTGCTTATCAGTCAGAAATTTAACGTAAAAATATAAGATCAAAATAAATTCAATACAGTATATTGGTGTTTTACATTACTTACATGTTAACAAATTTATTTAAAGTTTTTTTTAACTGCTTTTACGATCAAGTATCCATCACATGTTGCCACGTGTCTGGGTTCGAAACTATAACCCAAGAGATAATTGATTTCTCGTAAAACAAATCTCGTTGTTTCTGACGTTTCAATCGGGTATTGTATCGGTATTTAATATTCGCTATTTTTATTGTTGTGCACTGTGCTAGAAAATCAATTGTCTCTTCGGGCTTGTAATCACGTTCGACAAACGTGCAATTGTTTGTGCCAACGAGCTTGATCGACTCATTCGTAAAAAGGTCGATTCTTAAAGAATAATTTTACTCTGTATTTTTACATTGTCTCTTGATGCTTTTTATTTTGTGCGAAACTTATGCCCGAACGTTAAATCGCGATCAAGCTCGCGGGTAAACCTGAATGCTGGGACAGGGTACCCCTGCGGGCACGCGCCACCGCCCGCCCAAAAACTCGACTCTTGGCATGATCGGATTCGAGAATAATTATCTAAAGTTAATAATAAATGAAAAGAAAGAGAATAAAAAAAAAAAAAAAAACATAATAATTTGTGCGAAATTCTTTCGACGCTTCGCGGCGCCTTCCGCGATCTCCGGGCTCTGTCCTTCGCTCTCGCGTGGTAAGTTTATGGTTACATGTTCTTTCAGCCGAGAATTTCAGCGTTCAATTTCAATTAACACGCACGTTTTCAATAAACGTGGCACCGAACGCAGCTGAGCTCCGTTCCGTGCTGTGAATTAAATATGCGAATCGAGGTTGCAAATTTTTGTTTGTCTCTGCGTATAAACCGTGCAGTTGAATGATGCAGTGGTCACACTTCCCACTTTGAAAAGCCACAGGTTTCTGAGCATGTATTTTATTAAAAATAATTATTATCTCCAAAATAATGTACGTAAAAACTTTTACTTTTAATCAATTTTTATTGATAACTACATCACTTACTATTTCTCTCGACGACTTAACTTGTCGCGGAATTCGCATAACTCAAAGCAAGAGATTCTCTTTGATATACATCAGCGGATTCAGCGCGTAACAAAGAGACGTTGAGTGCAAAACCACTTTCGCGCTTTACAACTGATGATCTCAAGTTTCTCGAGTGCTATACTGATCGGCAGGATGACACCGATAAGCAAATCGCTTTGTTCGTACACGACCAACGGCGCGCGATAGCATAAAAGCGAAGTTGTCGAGTCACGCGCTGCAACAATCTAGGAGTCTAAACTAGAGCAAAGATACAATGTAGCTGTAATAAAGATGATTGGCGGCACGAACAGGGGACCCGGCAAGTATAAACGGCTCTACATGGCTTTTCGTTATGCAGAACCCGTTGGAAGCGCGCGACCAAAGTTTCCTTCGATGGACAACATAAATGGGCTTTCCGTGAGCTTGGAAGGAAATATACCGCTTCTGTGTCCTGCCCAAGGATTTCCGGTACCATCTCATAGGTACGATCGGAGAACACGGAGAAGATACTCTCTTATGTGATAAAAGCTACGAAATAAACATTAGATAATGATATATAAAATAACAAAATTTTACAAATAACGAAAGCAGTTAAATTATAAAAAAAAGTCTTATTTCTAGTGGACAAAAAATTATTATCTATTGATAATATTTTAAATATCGAATGTACGATTCAAGATTGAACTTTCTGTAATCAAACATAGAGTTTTCAGCTTCTCTTGTTTACAATTGATATTTCTGCAAATTATGTTTCGAGGCATCATGTGTGTAGCACAGGGGTTCTCTGTCCCCTTTCATTGCTCTTCTTGAGATGATAATTTTTCTCGAAGACGCTGTGAAATTTATAAATATTTTACATCAAATATTTTCGACAAACTAAATTTGTATTAAAACAGTAAACGAATTCGAGAGACACAAACACAGAAACGGCGTGAATTTTTAGAGCCGGTGGGCAGTGTGCGCCCAAAGATTCCGTCGACGGACGATGTACGCGGTTTCCGGACGATCGTCGGAGGCTCCCCGGCCCTGATGTGCCCGGCACAGGGGTTCCCCGTTCCTCTGTACAGGTAGAGATTAGAAATTATCACCAGCGTGAGCAAACGCGAATCCTTTGGGATAAACGTTAAACGCGCAAATCACAAATTATAAACGATATGATCAGAGCCGGTGGGCAGCGTGAGACCCAAGTTTCCGACGATCGACGACTCCAGGAGCTTTCGCACGACAAAAGACGGCTCGGTCACGTTGCAGTGCCCCGCTCAGGGGTTCCCTGTCCCTCTGTACAAGTAAGTCGCGGAAGTCGCTATATATTTTTTTTTCTCTTTCGGTCTTCTTTCTGGGTTGCACAACTCGTCGCAGAACCTGTGGGAAGTGTACGTCCAAAATTTCCGAGCGTCAGTATCACAAACGGCCTCATTACGCCAACGAACGGAACTTTGCCGCTTCTGTGCCCTGCACAAGGCTTTCCAGTCCCATCATATAGGTATCGCAGAGAACCTATTTAATGTCAAAGCGACTCTCCATTACGAAATTGCGATTAAACATTCCGTTCTTGGCAATTAGCGGTGACGGCACATCCAACTTCGTGACGTCTTTACTTTTTACGTCATACCGCTCTTTACTTAACAACGGTCTTAATTTGATACTAATAAATTTTTATAAAGAGCAGAATTAAATCGTATTTTTTATTATATTAATTTTTTCGTATTCTTATATTTTTCTTGTAATACATTTTATTACAAAATTTTATATTTTTTAAATTATAGTATAATTACTCATTTCTTCAGATTAAATCGTGCAGCGCCGAAAGAAAATTGTATTACATTACACTTTTTTATAATCGCTTGTGTTAGAATATTTCGAAATTTAGTACGAGCTTCAGGGGTTCCCCGTCTTAGACGATGGAGTTGAGTAGCGTATATGTTGTTCGATAATGTTTAGAGCCGGTCGGCAGCGTGAAACCAAAATTCCCGACGATAGACGACATCAGAGGATTCCGTATGATCAAAGGTGGATCCGTGACTTTGTTATGTCCCGCTCAAGGGTTCCCTGTCCCGTTTCAGAAGTAAGTCGAAACTCGCGACACTTGTCTTTGCGCTTTTCGGGGTTTCACCTCGTCGGTTTCTCTTATAATTATTATCTTCTTCCCCGGGCCGCAATTGGCAGAGCCTGTAGCAAGCGCACGTCCGAAACTTTCGAGCGTTGTCAACTTGATTGGACTCGTGACAAAGAGTAACAAGAGTTTGCCGCTTTTCTGTCCGGCACAAGGATTTCCTCTTCCGTCTTATAGGTAGAGTAAATAATAAAACATCACACACTGGTTTTAATACAATTACACAAAATTAAAAAATTCTTAATTTTTTTAAAAAGTTTTTTTTTTAAAGTTTTAGAATAATATTGATGTACATCGAAAAATATTATTAAGGTTTTAAAAAACTAGATATTTTAAAAGATAATTTTTAGTCTAAAATGTTGGAATTGTAACACGGAAGAGCACGTCAAGGCCCGGATAAATAATAACTTTCGAGTGGGTTACCTCTCTTTTTAAAGTACTTTATTCCGCTCAAAAAAAAAGGGTCCCCTGTCCCCTGATATACATAAGTGGATCAGTGGATTGTCAGCGTTTTTGACACGTTTCCCTCACGCTCTCGGTCTTTTTGTAGAACCCGTGGGGAGCGTACGTCCAAAGTTTCCGACAATGGATAATTCGCGCGGATTTATCTCCAAGCAGGAAGATGCTTTGACATTACTTTGCCCTGCTCAAGGGTTTCCCGTACCCTCGCATAGGTGGGACAAGGTTATATCGCAGTATTTTAGAATTTCAAAATATAAAAAGACGAGATCTGTGACACACACAAACACGAGAGGAAAACACGAACGTCAATGCAACTCAATTTTAATATTTTTAATTTTTTTCACATCATCATTTTCTTTTAATAAATTATGAAAATTTTATATCAGAAAAAGTTCGTATGTCTCTCTTTTCTCTTTCTTTTATCATCAAGTATCTTTTCAATTATTTTGATAATATATTTTTTCTTAATTAATAATATTAATGTAATAATGTCCTGTCTCAGCAGTCAGTTTTGTGTGACAAGTCTTCAAAAACAAAAAGAAAGTCTTGAACATTTTATCAGTTAAAGTTGATATACTTCGTAGTTGGAACTATGCAATTATAGATTCGCATTGTACGCTCGTGCTTTTTCTTTCGCTTTCTTGTAGAACCAGTCGCCAGCACAAAACCGAAATTTCCGATGACAGAGAACTCGCGTACGTACACTGTTCATTGCGATCAACCACTGACTCTCATGTGTCCGGCACAGGCCTTCCCCGTTCCAGCTTTCAGGTATATACAAAGCCCATATCATAAGAAAGTGAATGAGTAGACTGCAGACCGACGTTCCGGTTGGCGCACGACCGCAATGCGGAATAATAGAGAAAAGACGAGGAAGGAAATTGTGGACGACGCTTACACGCACGCGTTCATGTTTTTCTTCTTTTATTTATTCGATTTCTATAAGAATCGATGTATACATATCAATTTCCGGTTTATTGATTGTCGCACGAGACAATCAATGCATCTTGACAATGCAGT